TGTGGAGATTACTTAAAAAAATAAAATCTTGGGGCGCCTGGGTGGCTCAGATGGTTAAGCATCTACCTTCGGCTCAGGTCATGATCTCCAGGTCCTGGGATCTAGCCGCATGTCGGGCTGCCTGCTCAGCGGGGAGTCTGCTTCTTCCTCTCCCTCTGCCGGTTTTTCCCCCTGCTTATGCTCTCCCTGTCTCTCTCCCTCTCAAATGAATAAATAAAATCTTTTTAAAAATGGAAAGAAAATAGTTAAAACTTTAAAAATCATTTAAGTAAATCGATAAATAGTAAAGCTGGTCTGCCCTGGCTTTTGTAATACGCATCTGGGCCCTTAAGGTTCAATCTAAGAATGTTTATTCCTTTTGACTTCTTGTAGAAATTTTGGGTAAGATTAGCTTCATAGTTTTGCCAACAATAAAATGTTCTCTTATCATCTTTTAAATCCTACCTAATGCAAAAGTTTTCAAAAACAAAACTGTCACAGGCATGTTCCCGATCTCAGGTATTGACATTCATCAGAATGAACAGTGAATGCCCAGAAATTTCTAAATTAGAGTTGCAGCCTAGGATGAGGACTTAACCAAAATTCTCTGGCTGTAAATAAATAAGGTTTAAGGCTATTGTTCCCCTACCCCCCTCACCCCCTTGGCAGGGCTCTGCCTCACATAATCTATTTGGGACTATAGAACATCAGAGCTTGGGCATAAAAGTATAACAGGAGGGCTCCAGCTGGCTTCAGTATGGCATGAAAGGGTGTAACTTTATCTTCATTTCACATTCAGTGCTTTGCTTCAATTACATCCTCATACTAGGGTCACTTTGCCCAGACCTTTCCTTTTTGTATCTGGAAGTCCCGACTCTGGTTCTCTGGGTAAGGATGGCCATTTTCTGCCCAGTAGAACTGCATGCTGTAGCCTATCTTTGGTTTTGGTGATTTGGGCTTAGGAGATTTGGCTGAAGGGAAGCAAAGATGAGAACTTTCTTTTCTTTTTTTTTTTTTTTTAAGATTTTATTTATTTGCGAGAGAGAGAATGAGAGACAGAGAACATGAGAGGGAGGAGGGTCAGAGGGAGAAGCAGACTCCCTGCCGAGCAGGGAGCCTGATGCGGGACTCGATCCTGGGACTCCAGGATCATGACCTGAGCCGAAGGCAGTTGCTTAACCAACTGAGCCACCCAGGCGCCCCAAGATGAGAACTTTCTAATTCAACTTTTGCATGTTTGCTGTCTTCTCCCTCTCTTTGTCCCTTGATCTGCTAACCCAGATAATTGCTTTGTGCCATCCGGATTTTATCGAGAGGAGCCAATCAGACTCGGATACCCAGTGCCATTGTTGGAATCAACTTGCTCCTGTTCTCAGATTTCCACTTTCTGTGCCACCAGGGCACCCTCATGGACAAGTTGGGCCATTCTTTCTCAGTCCAGTTCCATTATGGGAACAGGTACTTAGGGAAAACAGGGTAACCCAGTAGTGGGAGCCCTGGTTTGGGAGTCAGACAATCTGAGTACAGGACCTCACACTGCTGTGAACTATGTCACTGAGCAGTCGGGACTCAATTCGATGTTGCATCCTTGGTAGGTGCTTTGCCAAAGTATATTCCGTTGATTGACTATACATACAGATTCTCTGTTCCAGTTTCTTCGATTGAAGATAGAGATGATTTTTGTACCTCATTGCCAGTAAGCTGTACTAAAAATACATTAATTTAATGAAGACAAGAAATGGACAAATACTGTATTCTGTGGAACTGATTTGTAAGGTGCAGGAGCAGAAGCGATGATTTCTCAGGTGCCTTCTAACTCCGTGTGTGTCTGGTTCTGAGAGATTGGGCGCAGCTCGCTTGAGTCTGGATTATACAGGAGGGCAGAATGGCTTCTGTGTTTACCTGCTGGATGAGGTCTTTTAGATTCCTGATGCAAGGCAGCTCTGGTCGCCATTGGTATCTTTAGAGCAGCTTCCCTCCTTTCTCTATATAGGTAGTTGTGTTTTTACTGACTTTAGGTAACCTTGGTAATTTTGTCCTCCAAACAGACTTTGTGAGGAGACAAGGCCTGTATTATAGGTACATTTTATAGATGAGGAACGTGTGGGTCAGGGAGGTTATATGATTTTCCAGAGTTAAGTAACAGGTAAATGGCACAGCCACTCCTCTTGGTTTCCTCACTGTACTTCTCCATGCTTCAGTCTCTCAGCTGTAAGTCTGGAATTAGGAACAGGACCCAATGTTGTCTGAGGGTTTTACCATCCTGATCGGAAATCAGTTAACTAGATATTTATTCAGTATTTTAAATCATTTGTGGAGGATTTTACTTACAACAACATGAGTTGAGTATCTTCTGTGCAAAGCACTATGGAGATAGGAAATACAATACAAAACCTCTGCCATCACATAGTTTACCCTGTAGAAGGTGAATGCCAGCAGTGGACATCTAGTGCAATGTAGTGGAGCGTTTCTTGTGAGCAGAGATGGGCCGGGGAGCTAGGAATCTGACAATATTGAAGGTCAGGGTGAGATCCAAGCTATGGGAACAAAACTCCAACAAGTGTCAATTAGGAAGTGGTCAGTTACAGGAGTTTGGCAAGAAGAGGGAGGCACTGGGTCAGGTACTAAGGGTTCTGCATGTTTGCTCTATGGTTGTTGACGTAGAGGCCCAGGTGAAGATGTGAGATTTTCTAAGGCTGGGAATCAGTGATTCTCCAAAGAATGAGGCACAAGAAAATGAGGGGTAAGCCTAGGAAGGGTCAAGGAACTGGGGGGATGGACTGGCCAGGGTCATAGCAGTGAGACTGCCTTGGTAGGCGCTGGGTACATCACAGGCCCCCAGCAGTGAGCTCAGCAATTGGTATGACAAGAATATCAGCCATTTTTGTTCCTCTTCTTCCTTAAAAGGCAGTTGAAGTGTATGGAAAGTTTTCCTAAGGGCCATTTACAGGGGCTGCTGGGGCGCCCTGGTGTGTGTATGTGTGTTCACATGCAGTGTGGGCTTGCTTACCTGCTGGTAGGCTGTTGTTCTTTGTCCTCTTTTCAAGAAATAAGCAAATAAAATGGAGGAAACCCATTTGGAAAAAAATGTTACCTCAAGCAGCTTTTTACAGCTCTTTCAATCTCATACTACAAGCGTGTAATTCTGGGCCCCCAGTCACTACAATTCATGACTATGTCTTCTTTTGTCTCCTTTGAGTTTTTATATTTTGATGTAAAAGTGAATTATCAGTAGGTTTTCTGAAGCCATGCCTGTTTGTTCTTTTTGTTTGTTCAAATGAAACAGTGCATCAAGTATGAAATTAGATTAATGGAGTAAATATTATGAATCATACACTCTCGCTAATCTGATGCTCTTTCTTTTTTTTTGACCCCATGTTTTGTTTTCTGTCTGTCTTTCTTCATGTAGGATTTTCAGTCCAGTGTAAAGCTGTTGGAGCGAGGAGCAAAGGTAAAGAATGATGTAATGCCCTGGCTGTCCCAAAGCATCTTTTGTTGTGGAATGGTTATTCCAGTCATCTCTTTATGAATCAGATGTGAGGGGCTGCTTTGTGGAAGGAGTCCTTTGCAAGAACACATCAACGGGGAAAGAGAAAGGGACATTCACTTGGAGGGCTCTTGCTGAAAATGGGTTTAACTCTCCTTTTGCCAGTCACCACCAGCCTGACCTCATACATTTTTAGTACAATGGAGTGGCTGAGCCTTTGAGTACACCACCATTACATCATCGTGGCAAATTAAAGAAGGAGGTGGGAAAAGAAGACTTATTGTTGTCATGGCCCATGAGATGATTGGAACTCAAATTGTTACTGAGAGGTTGGTGGCTCTGCTGGAAAGTGGAACGGAGAAAGTGCTGCTAATTGATAGCCGGCCATTTGTGGAATACAATACATCCCACATTTTAGAAGCCATTAATATCAACTGCTCCAAGCTTATGAAGCGAAGGTTGCAACAGGACAAAGTGTTAATTACAGAGCTCATCCAGCATTCGGCAAAACATAAGGTAAATGCTTTCTTTTTTTGCTTTTTAAAACAGACACCCTGAATGAGGAATAATTTTAAAACAAAGCCTCACTTTTAAGGGGAAAAAGTAATCTGAGGAAGTTTTGGTTGCTTTTTAAACTTTGGTACCTTAGGGATACCTCAAAGTAATTTACTAACCACACTGTCACATTTAAGAATATTTCTAAACTATACAGAAAGGTTAACTTGTTTTAATTTGGTCAAGTGCTATGTTTACCTCTTTTAATGGTTTGCTAAACTTTTTAAAAATTTAAACACTAATAAGTAGTTATAGTTGATAACATGATATTAATTATTAGTAACTTAATATATAATAATTTATAGTACATGTGTCAACAATCACTAAATTAATACATTATTTTGTGTTATCTACAAATTTACTGAAAGGAAATCATTCTTTTCAAGTGGTTTGGGAAGAAAGTGGAAACTGATTATATTAGAAGTGCTGTTTATTTGTGGGAAGGGAAGGAACCATTGTTCAGGATTTAGGGATGTAATTTATCTTGGAGGAAGGTTATTTCTGGGATTCCAAAATGTTGTCCTTGTGGTAGGTAAGGCTGTTTCTTTTTTTCAGGAATAAAAATGAGTTCACTTTTTTTTTTTTAAGATTTATTTATTTATTTATTTATTTGACAGAGAGAGACATAGCGAGAGAGGGAACACAAGCAGGGGGAGTGGGAGAGGGAGAAGCAGGCTTCCCGCAAAGCGGGGAGCCCGATGCGGGGCTCGATCCCAGGACCCTGGGATCATGACCTGAGCCGAAGGCAGACGCTTAATGACTGAGCCACCCAGGCACCACAGCTGATTTCTTCGTTATGTAGAAACATTTCAAAATGTTTCTTTAGTTTAAGGATTGTTACGTTTATTTTACATATTATTTGTTTTATGAGTTTTAGCGTTTTATAGCGGTAAGGATTTTAAACCAAGGAGATTTGAGCATACCTACACAGAAATAACACCAATTTTGCCTTTTAAAAGTTGATTTTTACAAGCATTTAAACCATTTGTATACTAGGTTTATCCAGTCAACTGTGTGTCCTTTTTATTCAGATTATTACTTGAAAGTGGATGGAGGGGGGCAGTTATTTGCTTCTGGGATGATTTTCCCAGCTTCTTTCCTAACAGCCTCTGATTTGCACTGCAGGTTGATATCGATTGCAGTCAGAAGGTTGTAGTTTACGATCAAAGCTCCCAGGATGTTGCCTCTCTGTCTTCAGACTGTTTTCTCACTGTACTTCTGGGTAAACTGGAGAAGAGCTTCAGCTCCGTTCACCTGCTTGCAGGTAAGGCTTGTGGTAGAATTGAAAGAACTTCAATCTCATGGAGCCCTCCCCATAAGCAGTATTTCACAGAGAGCTCAGAGTACAGTAGGTCATCACAACTGTGAGTGTCATGGGTAAACTGATTTATTTAAAGCTTCTGATTGACATAACTATTCTATTTAAGTTCAATACTACCATTCTTCCTCAGTAGTCAATGTGTTTCTTACTTAGCTCAAATGCCTCTTCATTTGGTATTTATTTGTTAGCTAGAAATGTCACATAGATCTGTGTGCTGCTTCTGGCCAGAGATTTTTCCATTCATCTGGGATCTAAAAACAGTAGAAATGCTCTACTTCTCAACTCCTGCTCTTGGTTCCCACCGCCTGTGGCAAGAGCCAGACTGGTGTCACAGTGTCCAACTCTTATTGAACAGTTACAGTTACAGCGGACTCCAGATCAGCCCACCATTCTTGGACATTATGAGCAATGAGGGGGAGAATGCGTATAAACTATTTCTTCTGGTAATTAGGGAGACAGTTTAAAAACTCATTTACTTGTGTATTATCGTTTTGTTTTTACAACTGAAAAAGGTCTCAGTTTGCAAACACTAAGCAGATGACTTTATAAAGTACCTGGGAAGAACTCTTTTATGTCTGTCTGAAAAGGGGGGCAGTGTGCGAGTTCCATTTCATCGAATTCCAAAGCAGTGTTCATCCTTTGCTTCCCCTGTTTTGCAGACGTTACTAAAGCCCTTTCACTGACATGGGCTCACAGAGTGGGGAATACAGTGTGACAATGCACAGTGACCTTTAACACAAAGCTGCTGTGTCCCGCAGATTCTGCCACCATGAAAGGCAAGAGGGCTTTTAAAAATGCGATCTAAGAAAACAAAATATGGTAGATATTATCATTTTCACACTTTTAATCTTTTGTTGCAAGGATGGTACCATGAACTTGATGTCGTTGGCAGTTGATTTTTAGAAGTGTAAACGTTTCAGTTTTCAGAGAATAGGATTCATCAGTTGTTGGTATGTTAACACTTCAACTCTGTGAAGGTTTAGATAAGATTTCCATGTCTCCAGTTCTCGCTCATCAGCTTTTGCTTCAGGTCTCAAAAAGCAGGCATGGTTTCCTGTCTCTTTCAGATGATCTGCTGCCCCGCCTTTTGCTCATGCTGTGATGCTGCGTGATCTTTCTGTTAGTTTCCTTAAGTGAAGCCAGCATGCCTTAGAAAGAAGTTTTCAGAGTTCTGTGACTGAGGGAATTAGAATATCAGGCTCCATCTCTTGTTGATCGGTGCATTCTTTTCCTGGGAGTATACTGTGGTAAATACCGCTTTTATTAGAGTTCCACTAAACTGATTTGGTGAGTTTAGGAACTCCTTTCATGCTTCTTGTAGGCGCTGTGAGGACTTTACCTTGGCATGCTATTAATAGGACCAGGGTTTTTCTTAAAGAGGGGACACCAAGATGTGCTTCACAGCAAAGTGACTGTCTCACCTCACTCTTGTTGGAGACACTTTCCCTGTGGGGGGCTCTGGCTTGGCAGCATGGCCAGACAGACACTCCCGTGGAGGAATGAGCTCATGTTGAGTTTCTAGCACAGGAGTTTTAGTTCCTTGAATACCTTTCCCCGCTTTAACAAAGAGCATGCTTGAGTTACCTGGGAAGGTAACTTCTTACCGGCCATGTGTCAGTTTGGGAGGAGCACTCCTTGGGCAAGGAAGAGAAAGGGCTCAGTCTGATCAGCTCGATCAGCTCAACAGTGGAAAGACATGTGGAATGACACACTGAATCCGAACACCTGACATTCCCATGTTGTACAGGCAATGCCTGGTTGCCTGGATCTAAATGAGAGTCCATCCAGGCAGCACCAAGAACCACACCGAACGTATTGATAGCACCATATCCCGATCCACACCCCAGAATCCTGTGTATCTTTTAGTTAAGGAGGTGGCTTAAGGGACTGAATTGAATTGCCTTGTTTGGGAGTTTCTGAGCAGCCAGATCTCTTATGATACCTAAGAGAGGGTTCTGGATGGTTTGCAGCCTTCTAACCATCCAGAAGCCCCTGACCAATTGGAAATTCCCTTGGTTAGTGAGTCTGCTCCTCGGAGTAGACCGAAGAGTAGCATAAGTGGAAAAGAGTGCTGGGAAGCTCTGGCCGTCAGTTCTTGGCAACCCGCTTTGTTGCCAAGGTCCAACTGCTCATTGGATGTTCCAGGGATGTGGGACAGGTGTTTCTTCAGTATCTTGTGGGGATGGGAAATAACTGTGGAAAAGCACACAAGCTTCTCACAGGCGCCATAGAAAATGACAAGGTAGCTGGAGACCATTTCCACTACAAACTGCCCCTGTTGCTCTTAGCAGTTGGAGATGGTTGTCAGCCTCATAATAGAAAGATGTGGTGGTTTCTTGGGGGTGATTTCTCCATCGGCTTAAAGCTTTCAGCTACTCTGAGATTATTCGGGAAGAAAGTATCAGATGTGAGATGGCTTTTATGGTCATTAGATATGGAAGTAAAGAATTGTGGCCTCAATTCCATTCCCATTCACAAGGCCACCTTGCCTGTGCAAAAATGACTTTAGAGAAGGGGAAAAAAAAGACATCCCCAGGAACAGATAGAAGAAGTCTAATGAGCTGTCTCTCTCCAACAAGTGGAGACCTACGCCTACCTATAGGACCTAGTTATAGGGACATAAAGAAATGCAGGGTTACTGAAGGACGCTCTACTGGAATGGGCTTAATTCCTTAATGTGGAACAGGTCCTCTTCGGGGATGGGGCTAGCTTATTAAACTTGTTTTTTGTTTGTTTTTTTAAGATTGTGTTTATTTATTTGACAGAGAAAACACAAGCGGGGCGGGGGAGGGCAGCAGGCAGAAAGAGAGGGAGAAGCAGGCTCCCCGCTGAGCAGGGAGCCTGACTTGGGGCTCAGTCCCAGGACCCCGGGATCGTGACCTGAGCTGAAGGCAGACACTTAACCGACTGAGCCACCCAGCTGCCCCTTAAACTTGTTTCTACCAGGTGCAAAGGGTTCTCTTAAGCCACGTGGGCAGCTAATTATCAGGGAGACCATTTTACCAAGTCTTCTAGTCCTGAAACTTGGACCCTTGTTCTGCAGTGAACCCTGCCTGTACTGGCCTCATCTGCAGGCCCCCACAGCCTGGGACCTTGACCCTTGCCTGACCAACTTTCTCCTCTTCTAAACAGTCAGTATTCCCAAGATTAACTTGATAGCCATATACTATTTTTCATTATTATCTTAAAATCTTATTTAAATCTTATGTTATCATTTTTCATTTATTAGCTTAGCTCCCCTTCCTGGATTCTCTTTTTCAAGCTGAGGACTATGTCTTTTTCATCTCTGTGTTCCCCCACAAGGCCCAGCACTTCTTAAATTCTCAGTAAATATTTGATATGTAAATTAGCTTACATGTAGTTTTACCCCATTTATATTTCATGTGATTCATTTTATTAGTGTAGAATATAAGTGATTGTATTAAACAGTGATGAAACTAACCTGAAAGTATAGTGAAAACTTGAGATTGTTTTAAAATAAATGATTTACAAAGTATATTCATTCAGAGCAAACATACAGCTGTTATGAGGAAAGCAATATGAAAATGTTTCCATCTATTGAAGTAGATTTAAACATGATTTTAAGAGCTAATAAAAAAAATGCAATGAAATCATGTGAATCTTACTTGATCCTTAAATACTGAATGTTGATAAAAAGCTAATAGCTCTAGAGTTCTAGCTCCACTCATTGGAAGATACAAGTCCATGAATCCATATAAACTGAGAATGGTTGTGATAATTTCTATATGTTCTTAGAGGTGAATATAAATTGATTGTTCTATTTAGCCATTAGGAAGTCTCCCAATAACCAAACTGAGCCAAACCATAACATCGTTTTACCCCCAGAGGAGTAAAGGGTTTAATTACCAGTAGTAGCAGCCTCAACTGAATAAGAAAGAATGAATTTGGATCCCTTTGGGAAATTCTCCATCATCATTGTTGGATAGGTGATGACAAAACCATCTTTTCCACTTTTTTTTCAATTTTGAAATCTGTTATTAAATAAGCACAGTTTAAAAACCCATCTGTGCTCCCACAGCCATCTGTGAAAACAAGACCGAAGAATTTGAATGGAGGGAGTGACGGAAGGGTGATGTAAACATGTTTCACAAAAATGACCATAGTGGAGGGTCCTGGTTGTGAGGATTGGCTTAGATGATGCATGTGGAACCCCTGTATCAGTTGTCTTCTTTTAAAAGCTGTTATCATCCTGAGTTAGAAAACAAATAGTTGCCACCATTGACTTACTGATCAACTTTTTTGGTCTTGGTAATGTTCAGAAAACTAGTTCTTTTTAAAAAGTAATCTTGTTTCTTGGCCTTATTCATTTCTCAGGGCACCAGATTGAACATAAATCTAGAAGAGAAGAGAAAAAAATACCGAACTTGGACTTTTATTTCTTGCTAACATAGAGAAAAGAGAATAGATGGGTCGTTAGTAGAAATAAAGATCAACCTGCAGATGAGAAATACTGTTGTTATTTCCTTCTCTTTCCTCACTGCTGTGGTTCTGAGTAAAAGCAAAAGGAACCCACAGCAGTTTATTAACTCTGCAGCACTCATTTCTGTCCTGTGATGAGACACAGGATAACCAACCCTACAGCAAAACACCACACATGAATCACAGACTTCAGCCCTGCCATTTACAGACGAGGAAAATAACTGAGCCCTGAGTGACTCTCCCAAGCTCTCACTCCCACCACGTGCCCAAGGCCCATATCCACAGTAATTCCAGAGTCTTGTGGAATTTCATCAGGAGGCTGGACTGAAGGCTCTTTTTGTGGTAGCTCTTTCTCAGACTCTCTGTGGATTTCAGAGTCATATTCTTACTTCACATTTTATGGAATGAAGCAATGTATAAAAATATACTGTATATAAAAATTTTTAAAGCATTAAATTATTTTAGCGGGGGTGATCATCACATAAAAGTCTAACTCCTCTGTTCTGTGCTGAAGGATAGTTCTGAATAAGATAGAAGATACCATTTATTAAGCATTTACTGTTGGGTACAATGTTAGTAAAGCACTAAGGGCTTTTATAAACGTTTGTCTCCGAACACAGCTAAGGTCTAGATTGATGTTTGCTATGGTTAAAGACCAAATACACATTTCTTTGTTTTGCATTAGATTTGCTAGTCTAATTAGAACTAGGAGGGAGTAAAAGTGTATTTGACTCTACGCTTTTTCAATTTAACAGGGATCTTAGATTCAGTCAGTAGATCTGTATAATAAACCTATAGCTTTGTTTAGTGGAATCAGTTATCATCCTTCCTAATGGAAGTACAGTAGAACCCTGTCTTGCTGGTGACAGATTTTGCTGTGCAAGCTGTTGTTACCATCAGTTCTGTGACCTAGTGACATTTCTTCTGTCCTTTTGTCTAGAGAAGGGTGTCTTCAGTCATCCCATCCCAAATCCTGCAGTAGTTGGTAAAAGAGATGGAAATGAATGGATTTCAGTAAAAGTACTACAGCTGCTCAGGAGTTGGCTGTTCTTGGGTTTAAAAAGCTGCAGGGACTGAGAGCCCCTGAAAGCAGACTAAACACAGGTGCCGTCTTGCCCGCTGGCGGCCGTGTCCCTGCGGCCCAGCTTGGTGAGGCCCTGCAGCCTGGATCCTCTCTCTCCAGCTGCTGCCTGCCAGTGTGGTGAGCCGGTTGGTGTCGCTGCCCCTGCTCCCGGTGCCGAAATCATAACTGTGGCCATGTCTTTTTTTTAAAATGGGCTGCAGACCAGACTAAAGATAGTTCCTTGGTTCCTCATCCCGATCCTCTGCACGAGCCAGATGATGGCAGCCTCAGTGAGCACGGTGGTCTCAGCCTTGCCCCGGTCGTGTCACCTGTGGCTCTGGAGAAGCGCCAGACCCAGGACTTTCATCCAGTCCACCTCTCAGGGTTTCATGGGCACTTTTGTGGTTGGGCCCGGGGCTGAGCCACCAGAAAAGCAAAAGGCTGGCCCTGCTCTTGAGAACCTAGCGACCCATTTGGGGAAATATGCCTAAAGTGGACGAAAGAGGGGCATATGATCCTGCGCTATACTGTGTGATACAGTGAAAACGGTGACGGGGTGTCGTCTGTAGAGGTTGGGGAAGATTTGATTACGGCATTGGGGTTCTAACTGAACCTTGGAAGATGAGTAAGATTTGGAGGGGGGGCCTCGGCATTCGGACGGGGGGAGAAACATGATTCAAAATGTCAGGACTGCACTTTGATTTTAGAGGGCCGTAGGGGGACTAGAGTAGATTTCTTTTGCAAAGGGGAGAAGTGGGAATTGAGAAGAGATGAAATCAAATTATGCAAGCTCTTTAAACCAGAAGGACAAACTTGTGAGCCGTCGGGGATTTGGCTGCAGGCCCTGCCGCCTCCCAGTCCCCTAGGTCTGTCTTCTGAGTTCGCAGGGTGTCTACTCTCTTCCTCCTGCCAGCAGCCGAGTCAAGCCCAGAGCATCCCCCCCGCTCCGAGTGCTCCGGGAGCCTCTTCACTGGCCTTCTCCTATCTTCTGCCTTGCCACCTACAATCCATTACTCACACTGGAGCCAAAGTGGTATTTTTATTTTATATTTTAATGTAATCCAGATTATATAACTCCTGGGTCTAATATGCATCATTGCTTTTCGGATAAATTCCCAAATCCTTCACTGACTCACCAGGCCCTATAGTGGCTGGCTCCTGCCTACCTCTCCAGCTTCATCTAATGCCACATAGGTCCTCAGTTCGTTTCACTTCTGTAGGCCTCCTCCTGGTTGTTGCAGACCTGCGGCATCAGTGTCTCGGGCCTTCACAGAGGCCCCTCCTCCTGTCGTCCGCTCACTCACCCTAGCGTCTCCTGCTGGATTCAGTGTTGTTGTCAAGTCTTCCCTCGCTACCAGGCAAAGTTGGTTTTCTTTGTTATATACGCTTCTTTGCCACCTACCTATAATTAGTTAATTATTCATCTAATTATTTGGTTAACATTTATCCCACTAAACTGTCCATTCCAGAGAGGGCTTCTGTTTTGGTCACCACTGTCCCCATTACCTAGTGCTGTGTCCTGCTCACGGTAGGTGCTCGTTAAATGTCTCTTTGAACCTACAGATGATTGCAGTGGTCTTGAGTTGTTTGGTTGACTGAACAGGTAGCTCTTGCTTCCTGCCTGCTTTGTCAGGTCTCCAGGGAAGCTGTGCAGTTGGCCAAAGAGGACTGTGGATAGAGAGGAATACATAGAAGTAGAAGTAGTCTATGGGAAAGCCTGCTACGGGCTAATCAGAAAGCTTTGAGCTTCATGTAGAAAGGCCTGAGAGATGAGTTATATGGTGATTCACAGACAGTGTACAAGTTAGTCAAATTTGATTTTTAAGAGTCATTCCCCAGAGACCAGACTCATAGCCCTTTTTCCTCTGACTCATAGAGTTATCTCCTGATTAATAATCTCATTTCACCGAGCCCTTTGATGATCACAGTAGACCTGTCCAGCAGCCATTTCATCCTGATCTGGGTCCTAATTGTAGTTGGTCTGATTAGTTTCCTGAGGGATGTGCCCTGATTCCCTGAGCCCTGGGGTATTATTAGACCTTCCAGCTCGTATGGAGTTCTGAGCTACTTAGGGACATCTGAAAAAATTTTCTCTCTCCACCTTTCATGTAAAGTCAGCAGCACACTGAAGATTGGGTATGACAGAAACACAGTGAGGATTCAGTGCTGCTTTTCAATGACCAAAGTAGCACTCACCGGTTCTGCCTTTTTTCCTTTAGTAGCAGAACAGTGTTTTTCTTGTCCTGTGCTGCCTCTGTCACCCTGAGAGTCTTCTGGGCATTGTGGTCTAGGAATAGGAAGCAGATTCTGGGCCCCCACCCATGCCAACATCGTTTTAGGCTTTGAATGGAATCAGGAAATCCTTCTGAACACCAAAACTATACAAGACTTATGTCCATCAACAGCTATTCATTGTAACAAGGAAGGATTCAGTAAACATTTATTGAATTTCAGTTATGGGCCAAGCACTGTGCTAAATGCTGAGGGGATGACAAAGGAGTGTGAGACGTAATTCTTACCCACAGGCAGTTCACAGTGTATTCTAGCTGGAGAAACAGAGGTCACAACACACACACAAAGATGATTCATAGTTACCAAGTCATTGGCAAATACTCATTGCCAGATGATTGCCATAAATTTTATGGAAGTTCTAAGTTGTCAAGATCATATATAGATACACTGGTCAGGAAAGATTTTGTTTGTTTTTTAAGATTTATTTATTTATTTATTTTAGAGACTCAGCACACATGCAAGCAGGGGGAGGGGCAGAGAGAGAGAGCGAGCAAATCCTCAAGCCGATTCCCCGCCGAGCACGGAGCCCAATGTGGGGTTTGATCCCGGGACTCAGATTGTGACGTGAGCTGAAATCAAGAATCGGCTGCTTAACCAACTGAGCCACCCAGGCACCCTGGAAAGATTTTTTTTTTTTTTTTTAATGCAAGAGAAGAGTATTGAAACTGTCAGAGAGTAACTCAGTAAGGGAAGATAGTAGGGTGAAATTTGTTTCTGGGACCTGGCCCCCATCACCAACCTGAGACCCATGGCCAGTTCTCCTGAGCTCTGGGTGTCTCTGTGTTTAGAAGGTTTTGATGTAAAGTGTATTTTATTGGTTATGGTAAGAAATCTTTGGAATATACTTCCGTAGAAGAAGTATGACTTGTGCTTGCCTATGGTTTGGAAGGAAATAACAAAATGGATTGGAGGAGAGATTAAATTGCCAAAGGCCCAAGATTGGAAAGCACATTGTGTTAGGAAAACAGAAGACCAATTTTCCTTTTCCATGGAGGGTGGTGGCATGGAAAATCAGGTTGGGCTGTGGACTGGGATTAGATGAGGAAGGGTCTTGAATGTCTGGCTCACAATTTTGGATTTTATTCTGTGGGTATTGAGAGCAGAGATCACATCAAAACTTTATTTTTAGGGTGCTTAATCTGGCAGCAGAGTGGCCGTGAGTGGGGAGGAGGACAGGTGGATCAGAGAGAGCTGTTACTGAGTTTATCTAAGAGTGAGGGATGAAGGTCCTGGAGCAGGGGGGCAGCAGGAGAATGGGAAGGCAGGGCAGAAAGAAGAGACATAAAGGAAAGTCAGTGTGGGGATGCCTGGGTGGCTCAATTGGTTAAGCGTCTGCCTTCGGCTCAGGTCATGATCCCAGGGTCCTGGGATCGAGCCCCCGCATCGGGCTCCCTGCTTAGGTAGGGAGCCTGCTTCTCCCTCTGACCCTCCCCCTGTTTGTGCTTTCTCTCTCCCCCAAATAAATAAATAAAATCTTTAAAAAAGAAAAAAAAAGGAAAGTGTGTTGGCACAGCAACTGGATGTTGCTGAGCTGGGAGGTTGGGGTTGCCATGGATGGGGGATGCAGAAGGAAAGAGAGGGAGACATTGGCTTTGACTTTTAAGTGT